TATTCATTGGTATTAGAAATTAGTAAAATGTGTTGTATAAAAAAAAAACATTTGAATATCTTTTGAGACGTCTCCGAACTTGAAGGAATAAGTGAACACAGAGAATAGTGCAAAATACTAAGGATTCATAAAAAAACAATTCTTTTGATCAAGTGCTGAGTTGTGTATTACTTATATATATCGAGTTTGTTTTTCATAGGAAAGTCAGAAAGAGCTAATATTTTGGATTTGAAATATTCTAATGATGGTCTACCATCTGAGATAATTAAATCAAATATCAAAATGTTAGTGACTACTGATTTGGTAGTTTCTGTCACAAATCCTCTCTTATATATTGTATATTTTGCTTTGTAGGGACAAAATAAAAAAATGCATTACTTTTGAAGAAAGCGCTATGTTCTCAAATCCTTTTAGAGTTTTTACTAGGGAACTATGTAGCATCCATTGAAGATTTTCTAGCACTATTTTGACGATGATAACTATTTCATTTTCATTGTAACACTACCATCAAAATGTTGTATCCAACGTTCCTACTACACAGTTCATTTCCTACGTGACTCGTAAATCTAGTTAGAAATTGCGAACTAGACAGATCGCATAGATGCTGAAGAAAAATTGCTCATATGAGTTCCATGGTGGCATTACAATCAACGCAAAATGACTATCACTGTTAAAACAGTGCTGAAAAATTTTTTCCTTTCCGCTTTTGGACTACAAATTCACTCGGTAATCTACCTTGAAAGTATCCACTCCATCAGCAATTCAAGAGAAAATTTCGAAATTTTGTATTGGTATAGTATTATTAACATCAATTATTGTTCAGTTTAGGTTCATCACACTATCAGCTCTCGATTTGTTGACATGCTCTCTCCTTTGATTGATCATTACGCATCACTTTTTTTTCGTTCTGCGTGCCCACCATGAGAATACGTCTCCTTGTGTTTAACAAATCTTCCTTTCAATTAATTTTCCTTCATTCTATGTAGCCCTCATCTCGATTGCTTTTCTTTCCTTTCGTGATATTGGCAGATTGGACATAGATAGTTTCTAAATTACACAACTTGGATATTCAATTGAATTCAAGTTTTGCATTATTGCTCAGCTACTTCTTTCATTTTATTTGTAGTATAAAGTAAATTAAAAGAATAATTTTGAAAGTAATATTTTCATAATTTGTCGAAAAACATAATCGAAAATGGTCAAACAAGATATAATTTGTTTATTGGGTAATGATGGTAGTGGTAAATCAAGTATTTGTGAAATGATAAATTCGGAAAAAGATGTTAATAACAATACTATTGTTGCTATTGAACGTAGTAATGGATTAGGTATAAAATTTGGAATTGATCCAAGTATTGTCGATAAAATGACATTAGAATATACTTTTGATGGAGAAAATTTCAATAAAATTATGTTACCAGATCAAACAATAAATCAAGAACAAATTTATTGGATTATCTTAGATTGTGATATTGATATAATTCAAAAACGAATACAATCACGACCAACAAGTGATATTTGGGAAACACGAAAAGCTTTAAACTATTTTCAACAACGTTTTCGTCATTTGAGTGCTCATTTTGGTATACCACTTGTTGATACAACACAACGAACATTGCAGCAAGTTTATGATGAAGTACTTGATATCGTTAGAAAATATTCAAATTACTATCGATATTATCGTCAAATGGGTACTCAAATACTTAATTATAATCAGATTCAAGAATGTGATCTTGAAAATAAACTTTATAAAATTATAAATACCTATGATATGGAGAAAATAACAGATTTACCTGAATATACACAAGAATTTGATAATGTTGATAAACGAAAATTATACATAAGATGGTATATAAATAATAATTCGTTAGAAATCGATCAGCAAAAAAATATTCTTCACATTGGAGAATATGAATTACCAATAACAGGAATAATACTTAAACTTGTTACTGAAGGTGAATCGAAAAAAGTTTACAAAGATATTAGTGGTAATCCATTTACAAAAACTTTAGCATTTATTATTTTAAAATCTACCATTTATTCACATTCAATGCAAGTTACAGGAGAAATTAATAATTTAGGTAAGATTTTCTACTTGATACATTTAACTTATAGACAATGTGAACAAATTTAATTTTCATATATGTAGGATTGAAATACAAATTTTTTTTATTAATTGTCTATATCATAACGGAAAAAATAAAGATAATAAGATAAGATTTAAATCTTATCGAAAACTATTTTCAAGATCAACTTGCAAAAAAACATAAGTCACGGACTCAGCATATAGATTTATTTGAAAACTTGCAAAAAATTTCTTTAAAAAAAGTCACAAGCAACATTCTCTAAGAACAAAATTAGTTAATTCATTTAGAGAGAGTATCTATTGAAATATTTCAGGTTCAATTCGTGCATGTGGTTCTCAATTGATTATGGAAATGATGTGGCGTAATGGTTTGAAACATTCTTATCGTTCGATTAATTTCAATGGTATCATTGTTAGTGATTTTATCGATGAAATCAGTCCAATAGAAGTTATTGTTAAACGATATTGTCAAGGAACGGATAAACATTCATTTTATGATATTTTAGAAAATGAAAATATTGTTTTATCCAATAGTGATGGAGAATATTTATGTGGTCCTTATGTTCGATTCGATTGGAGAAATCCAAATCATATATCACCAAAGACAAAAAAATCTTTAAATAAAAATTCATATTATTATATATATGAACAAATTGTTGGTAAAGAAGAATTTTTCAATAAAGTCTTAGCTAATAAACAGTATGCTATACCGGTAAGAAAATCTATGGATTATCAAATAATTTATTCGATCTTTTTTGTATTTTAGGTTGGTGATAAAAATATTACTGAAGATCTTTTAACTCATGTAATTGATATTAAACAAACAAAGTTATCTGTATTAAAAATGTTTATGGTTCTTCAATCGTATTTTTTTCGTGTTAATTTATTGATAAAAGATGTTTGTTTTATGCTTAATAAAAATGGTGAACAATTTTGGAGTGAAATCAATCAAGATTGTATGCGAATAACAGCTATAGATAGTAATCAAAATAAATTTGATAAAGACATTTGGCGAGCTGGGGGATCATCATCACGCGAACAAATCTTACAGAAATGGAATGATTTTAATAAAATATTTATTGATTATTTTATGAAAAATAAATTTCATCAAACAGAACTTTTAAACTATAATTCTTATTTTTATATAGAAGAAATTGAAAAATTATTAACAAATACAAAATTAAAAATTCCAATAAATTTACAAGAATTATGGTTGGCGATACGGGGTAAAAATCCTAGAAGTATTCTTGTAACAATGGACATGTTTAATGGACAACCAGTTTTAGTTAAAAGTTCAGAAGTATGTGAAACTCATAGTAATGGTGACTATTGGCAAGCTATGGAAAAACTTTCTATTTTTCCGGACATATTAATCGTTGATTTAAATGGTGCTTTTGGTGAAATAGATACAAAAAATCGACAAATCATCAAAAAATTAGCACAGAAATATCATGTCTATACGGGAGGTGGTTTACGATCAACAAGTGACGTTGAAGATGTGCTCAAATCAAGTGTTCGTCGATGTGTTGTAGCTAGTGCCGATGATGCATTGATTATGAAAATACCTAAAGAACGTTTAATTGTCGAAATAAGTATTAATGAACAAAATGAAGTACTTATTCATGGTCGTCAAACAAATACTCATGTGAATATAATTACAAGAATTAATCAATTAATTCAAATTGGTGTCTATGTTATTAGTATAACATTTGTTCAAAATGAAGGACATTTATCAGGAATACCTCGACAACAAATTCGAGATCTTATTTTACAAATTCCTCAAAATATTAAGAGAATCTATATTGCTGGTGGAATAAGTACATTAGATGATTTAGAATATTTATGGTCATTTACTCGTATTGTTCCACAACTTGGATCTGCAATTTGGAAAAATAAATTAACTATTGGCAGTATACTCAATAGTATGATCAATTTTAATAATAATGGAACTGTATCAGCTATTATTCAAGATATAAATGGACCAGTCAAAGGTTTATGTTATATGAATCGTCAATCAATTGAACAAACGTGTCAATATAGAAAACTATATAGATATTCAAGAAAATTAGGCAAAGTAATAATGAAAGGTGAAAGATCTGGTGATATTCAACATATTATTCAAATTAGTTTAGATTGTGATTCAGATGCTATGTTAATAACAGTTGATTCAAAAAAACCATTTTGTCATACAGGTACGAATTTTTTATCATATTCATTATAGAAGTTATGATTTTTATTCTTATTTTAGGTAATCATAGTTGTTTCTGTTTACAAACAAGTATTAAAGCAAATTTAGCTACATTAGCTGATCATATTAAATCAAAAATAAACGATGATAGTTATACTGGCAAAATGCAAAGAAATCCACAATTAGCTCTTGCTAAAGTAATGGAAGAATTTTGGGAAGTATTAGCAAGTCATCGAGATAATCAAGTTTCTGAATGTAGTGATCTATTTGTTCATCTTGTTATGTATTTAAATGGAATTGGTGTAACAATGGAAGATATTTTTAATGAATTGAATGCACGACGATGGACACCTAAAATATTCATTGAACAAAATGAAATATCCGATAAAAAATTGAAAGAAATTATAATTGGAATAACTACAACGAAATATACTAATAAAACAGATCGATTTGCTGAAGAACACTTAGGAATTAAAATACTACGACAATCAGGTAGAAATCTATGTATTAAAGGAGAAATTATCGATCGAAACAAATTTTTTAAATATTTCGATTACGATGAAAATATTAAATTATCATTATTTCCGAGTAAACCAAAGGATATGCCATGGTTATTGGCATCAAAACGCGTTACACATCTTATTACATTTGAAACTGTAGTTAAAAATTATCCAACAGTTTATACTGTTCTTCATGAAATTGTTGATCCATCCATTTGTCTTGCTTTGATATGTCGCAAAGGTGCGTGTATAGAACCAGAAAAATGGACACGCCAGAATAAACCATTGATTGCTGCTGAACATGTTAGCCAAGTAACAAGATTTTTTGAATTAAACAATATAGATCCCGTCGCATACCACTTGGATAGAGTTACAGGATCATCAGAAGGATATTTGGTGAATACAGATCTATATTTATTGGCTGATGCTATTGTTGAAAGTGGAAGAACTCTTGAAGAAAATAACTTAGAAATATGGAAGGTTATTATACCAAAAGGACAAGTACGCATTGCGCTTTATGGACGGTGTAATTAAAGGATCGTGTTACGAACAGATGAACTACAGAACAATGTCCATTCCTATATCTTAACTCTTGCTTTTCAGACATTATAATTAACAATATATAGCTTCTAATACGCGTGTGTTTGCTGTGCGATTCTAAATAAAAGACTATGCAGAGTTGAATAGTCAGCACATTTTGTACTTTTTTTTAATCAAGTTAACACTTTCAGAGCTTTGCATTTAACAATAAGTATAAAAACATGTGGATTACCACTAATAACAGTCGAACTTTGGACGAATTGAGTTGTCATTAAGAAAAGAAACACATCACGTGAAACCATAGAATTCATCGTAAATCAGTCTCCCACTATGTATCAGACACATATTTCAAATAAAAAGTTATTCCTTGTCTCTGAAAGTTTACGATTTTAATACCTCAACGTAAGGTATGGGTGTGAGGTGTGGGTATGAGTTCATCTTCTCTCAACCCACACCCTATGTGACAATAGATATTGCTTATATGAATAGATTCTCCTCTAGATTAGAATTCATTATAATCCAGTCCGAAATCAATTACTTATAATTCATATGAATTAAATTCGTATGAGTCAGGTGATTGATTCAAAAAATAATTGAAAAAATCATTAACATCTTGTTTTTTTTTATACTTGTTTAATGAGTTTTACTATATATATATGAAAAATTTGTTTTAACTATAGTTAACAAGTAATTCGCTATTAACAAAATTCTAATTTAATCATATTCTCTAGATCGTACCTTTTAACATTTTTATGAATCAAGTCAAACGACAATTGAATAAATATGTATCATCTGATGAAGAAATAAAAAAATGTTTTTCTTTCATTATTTTAGTTTTCACATTTGATAAGAATGAGAACATGTAAATAATATATATGTATATTTAGTTTTATTTTATTTTATTTTACTTTTTTTTTGTGCATATATTATTATAGCATAGAGAAATTACTTGTATCGATCATTTGTCGAATGAAATTGTTTATGAAATGTTCGATTATTTCGATCGTTGTGATATTTCCGATGTATTTTGAAATCTTATTATACATTTTAAATATTTTATTGTTTATTCATTATTACCAATTAAATATTCATCATACCATACTGACAAATTATATATGTTGTTTTCTTTTTACTACATATGATTGATGCATCATTCAATCGTTTTGAATCTCTTGTTCTGTATAGAATTCAATGTAATATTTTAATATCGCTTCTTCCGAATTTAATTACTTTATCTTGTCTATTTTCATTAAAAATTGATCTTAATGATGAATTAAGATAGTTCTCGAAATCTTTATGGCCTACTTTTTTCGTTTTCAACGATTCATAAAGGACGTTCAGATAAAAGAGAGGGACGACAGGATGCGCCAAAACTGGACAGAAAGGAGGAGAGTGATAGAAGTTGACGGTTCCAGAAAACTAGAATAGAATTAGAACTATGGAAAAAATACACTTTAGAACTGTTAAATCATCAAAGAGATACCAAAATTTTTATATCTATATCGAGAAATTAAGAATTTTCGTCAATAACCGATTTTTGAAAACGTCCTACGGATCGAAAGAGACATTGTATAGATCTGAAACCTTTATTGTATATTCAACTCTAAGAATTCTAGTTCCAATGAAAATTTCAAACTTTTATCCTCTTCTTCCTATGAGATATGAAGCTCTCAAGTCATCTCAATTGTGAATTTTTGACAATATTGGGTGATTCATAAAAAAATCTGAGGATCCGATATGTACAAATGAATCTTTTTTTCATTAATAGAACTCAGTGACATATATGTCTACAAAATCTTTCATCACAATCGGTCGAGTCATTCTTGAGATATGATCTCGTCAAGATTCTCTCAGCCAACAGGTTCATTTTTAGGACTTTCATAAAATGTTCATAAAAAATCGAAAGTTCGGTTACGTGAATTAACTTTTATACATACGAGTGAAAAGAGTCTAAGAGAGAGCTAAGAAAAAGAAGGCAAAAGAAAAAAGAAATGAACAGATCAATGAGTACGTTTATCGAAAGACCAATGCACATAAAATCTGTTGTCTAGAAATAAATTCATTTTATGAAATAAAAATTTCATATAGAAGAAAAAAAATTGACGGAACGAAGCAGGCATGCAGGCAGACTTAGTGACCGGTTTGGAGTTCTGAAAAAGAGGTAAATTAATGTAATCTTTACCTGAACATCCTTTATCAATGGTTCTTTTGTTTTTACTAAAATATAACAAAATTTCAACAATTAGAAAATTTTTACCTATTTTACAACTATATAAAACTGCTGAATATAGTCCTATTGAACATCTACTGAGTAATTGCTTTACTTTTTGCAAGATCATTGAAAAATTTTTTTTTGTATGATTTTATTAGACATGATGACTTCAAGATTGGCATATAAATTCTAATAAGATCATATACATGTACAATTTTCATACGATTTTCTATGATCATGAAACATTATCCTACGACAGAGTAAGTTTCTATATAATCATGTAAGAATTGTACGTACAAAATTTTATTCAATCTAACTAAAGCAATAGAGTTTGAGCTGGTATTTTTGGGACGATTAGTGTTTATTCTGTTCTATTTATGATTAAAATTTCAAAGCAAATAAAACATTTCTACTACAATATAAATTTGTCTTGATACAAGACAATTTTTACTTCTCGGATTTTGAAACAACAAAATATATTTAATAACATGAATATTTTTTTGTTTCTAAAATCCATACATTTAAATATCTTTACGTAGTCATCATTATTATTGGATAATAGAAAAGCAAAAATGACTTTTATCAATGATTGATCACAAATAAATTATCAAATATATATTTGTTTGCAAATACTCATCAGCTTTTCTTCAATATCAATCTATTTATAATCAATGAATAAAATTTTCATAAACTTTTCATACCTACTACATATGTATCTGTTGTTTACTATTATCTACTACCATCATCATTCATCTCAACCACGGTATATCATTACAATCAATGATAAGACAAAGTAAAAATCTTAAAATGAACTATTCATTTCATTATTCGTTCGTTTAAAAAAATATCTCAAAAAGAAATGTTTTGTTTGTTTTTTTGTTGAAACTTTATCGATCGATTTCAAACACGTGACCTCACCTTCAGTTGCTGCACATCCATTCATATTCACTGATACTATGTTGAAAAAACCTTGGCAACAATGACAACAAACAACATCCATTCGATCAAGATTTTTTTTTTCGATTCTTTTTCTTCCTTTGATGATGACGATGCAACTGGCTTTGCAATTATTTTTGAAATGAACAATGAGAAATCTTTCAATGGCAACAGGTGAAAAATTTCATTCTTTTACTGTGTTATTCATTAATTACAAGATAATACAAAAAACCTTCTTGATCGGAAAGTAAAAATGATCTACTACGACGAACATTTATATTTCACTTGAAATCTGATAATTACACTCTCTATAGAACTGTTAGTTCTGCATTCATCATTATGGACGAAAAATTCAGTTAAAAGAAAAACAGAAGATTTATTTTTTAAGAGATTTTTTTTGTTCTTATAGAATTACTTATTCATACTCGATATTGAGTCTTGTTCAATCTCTAAATGATGAAAGAAAATAATATCATAATATAAGAGATCACATCTGATGGAAACAATATGGAAGATACTGCTTGTTGTTATAATTAAAATTTTAATAATATTTATTAGAAAACTGTCACTAAATCAAATCATTAACTGTGAATGCCAAGAGATTTCTAGTGAAAGTTCCAACTCTTGTCTGATACTGTGTTTTCATTGAATTACTGATTTTTTATAAAAAAATAAATAATACGATTATGTGCATGTATGTAGAAGGAAATAGTAGAAATAGAGAATGAACTATTGCATCGTTTGTTCGTTTCAATGAAAGAAAAAATTACGTTTAATATTTGTACAAGACATTTGATTTATTTACTCAATTCAATCATTAAACAAGAGAGAATTGGCAACAGTAGAAACAACAATACTTTTTGCCGTGCATAATCGTACTTTCTTTTTTATTTGAAGCTAGGCAACCAAAAATGTCCTTGAATGTCAACAACAGGAACGAATAAAAAGAATTTTTTGATAATTGAAAAGAAAGAAAAACTCGTTGTCCTCCATTGTGAAACAAAAATTTTGTTTAAGAGTCATTTCACTTAAGCTACGACCTATGCTGCTCAATCGATTTTTTCAAATTCTGATATCATATACATATTTCAAAAGTGTACCAATTAGTGAACCTTTTGCC